AAACAAAATTATATTACAGGCATATTTTTTTAACATTAGATCAATTTTGTTGAAAAGTTATTTGGGTATTTCCTTTGATTTTCTTAATTTCATTTAATATTCTATTTGCTTTTTTAAAATTATTCCGTTATGTTTCATTAACTTGCATTTAAAACTATTTTATGCTTAGCAGTTTTTAAACCTACTGTCAAAATTTCTGTAGGCAATGCTCTTTCTGGGAAAGCCAATGCCTTCATAGAGAATTTAGATGTCTATAACGATAAAGAAAACTTACATTACATTTCTTTTCTATCAGCTATTTAAGTTTTCATACTGTTCGTTCTACATTATTTTTGTGTCGACAATTATAGAATAGTTTCATTGTCTTTATCTAAGGTATTCAGGAGATATATGTTAGATGTCTTTGTTAATTTTGTTGTAAGTGAGACATTTAACTGCCACTGAAAAGTTAACAATATACTATATATAAATAAAAATGATCACTGTTTAATAAACCTAGTTAGTTTGTGTCTCTAAACACCGTAACACTACACACAACTATAAAATTCATTCATCTAAAGATAATTCCATGCATAAAATATATTTCAGGAAATATTTGTTATTATTTTTTATTAAATTTGTTATAGAATGGTCGAAAAAATTTTGGGCTGTAAGGTGTACAATTTTCCCATCATTTAAAAAAAAATTTCACATGGCAAAATACAAAATTTGAGCGAAATCGTTCAAATAGCTCCTAAGAAATTGAATTTCAAAAAAAGTCAGACAAATAAAATTTGATTTCTCAGGAACCATTCGACTGATTTGGCTCAAATTTTGCACTTTCCATACACTTTTTAAAATAATGCAAAAAAATTGTCTTCCTTATAATTCAAATTTTTTTTACCATTCTTAAATTAAATAAAAAGTAACAAATGCTTACCAAAAGTTATTTTTTGCATGGACATGTCTATGGATGAACGAATCTTATAAATGTGTGCAAAAAGTTTCAACTCGATTAGAAAAGTCCCGAGATATGATAAAACACGTAAAAAGTAAAATTAACATAAGAGGTCCAAACTATTGAGACCATATTTCCCAGATTGCGGCTATCCCCTATATTAAGAAATCGTCGAAAAAAAGGTATTTGTATTCAGAGAAAGTACGTTTTTGTGTCTGATTTCGTAACATAAAATATCGTCTAAACTAATTAATTAGCATATTTGAGGTCATTCCTTCTAATCACTAGCATTACATTAAAAGTTATTCAGGGTGGTGCGTTTTTGTTTTTTTCTTTTCTTTTGGAGCACTGTGCATGTGATGAACGATCATTGCTGAAACATCCCTAAACAACATCCTTAAAGTAATATTAAATGTTGTTTTTTTTTTTGAAAAAGGATGAAAATCATTTTTTTAAATATTAGTTCCTTTCTGTAAATATAATAGAATGATCCAAATGTTAAAAGAAGTTAAAATTTAAAATTAATTTCTCATATCAGTTCCATATATATATGCAAATAACGCAAGTGAATCAAAAAATTTCGTGCAATGATATATTTCGGAACTTAATAAGATATCAAATTGAATATGCATTATAGTTAAATAATTCATGTCGTGAGTTCTATAAAAGGAATCTGAAAAGAAGTTTTTATTTCATTAGTATTCCGATCATAAAATCTCATACTTTTATTTTTTTCTTCTTAACTAATTTTAATAATTCCCTTAAGAACGGCAATTTCTTTAGAAATCAAAACTAAGAGTTGTTACCTTTATATTAATTATTCATCTTCTTATTATTATCAACCATCGCCAGGCGCAGTTCATGAACATTCTTACATATGGTATACTATATTAAATTCCTACATACTTTTTTCCTCATTAGCCTAGACGGTTACTTCATTGAATCAGTGAAAGTTCTTTAAAATCTAGTTATCGGATAAAAGTTTATTGACACACGAGGTGAATTTTTATTCTGAAACGGATGTGTTTAACTAAGACATAATTCATAATTTTTTTTTAAATAAGAATTTGGAGCTTTTTGATTTTAAAGAGTAAGTTATGATGTATATTTAAATTGAAATTTAATATTACTGTTTGAATGAATTCAGTTAGAAATGAATAGTTCGAAATACCATACAACATACCATACAACATACCATACAACAGGTAAGACGAACCAACTGTTACAAAGTGTCTTTTTATATAAGCTTTTGATAGGTAAAAACTCTATAAATAGAATTTACTAAATGAAGAATCATACATTTTGCTACCACAAGAAGCTATTTATAAGCTCTGCGAAGCAAGTTGGCTTTTCTAAAATAAGCTTAAAAATTATATACAGTAGGAAATGAAAGACTGTTATTATTTCATGTCCTTACGCTTCTATAACTGCTTTATCTCCTGATTTTCGTGGAAGATTTTATTTTTAACCTTTTGCACTCCATTGACATCTTTACACCAGAGTGACTAAAAATGAAAAAAGTGTTGACTTATATTTCATTAAAAAATATTTAAATTGGCGAATTTTTCTAGCATATTTTTTTCCAGTTTATTATATGAATTGAGTTTCTGCACTTTTTACATTTATAGTTGCCTGTGGCATCCCTGATACAGTGATATTGAAAGTCACAATTCCAAAGCTTATAAGTTTTGCATTTTTTTAATTAACCCTTTCGCGCCGACTGTCACAAATACGTGACAGCATAAAACAGTATCAACCAGGGTAAAAAGATAAAACTGGTAAACAAAGTAATTCTTTAACAGTTTATTTGTGGGCGGGGTTATAATTGTTTGATTTATTTAATTCACCACTACTTAGTTCAAAATAAAATTATTTAGTTATACTTTGAACTAACATTGATTATACATATGATTAAACTAACAATAATTAAAGTCAAAGCGAATTAAGTCTGTCAAATTAGCAATGCCTACATTTATGCTACCGTTTTATATTTATTTACATCCTGATTATGATTTTGTACGAATGCTTTTATGAATCAGCCGTCCCCAAGGGGTTAATAACCACATTATTTTATAAAATTAAGGAATTATTTAAATGTATTATGCTTTATATTTAAAATATTTCACCATTCAATTGCGCTTCGGCGATTTATCATGCATTCCCATTCACATGTATGAGTTAGAGCCCCTCGTGGGGCTGATGCTAAGATAACTACCACATATGAGTATATTTAAAATAGTTTGGCGTTTTCATTAGTTTAAACAGCATGTTAAAATACTCGGAATGTAAAATGTTAAAGTGTTAACAGAATGTGCAGAGATGTCAACTGCTCCGGATTCTACGAAATATCTTAAAAAACGGTCGAGAGCTATAAATTACATTTTGCAGATTTTCTGGTAAATTTTGGAAACTTTCAAATAGACTCAAAAGAAAAGATTCGCATAAAAAATGAAGAGGGATAACTTTAGAAACTGAAAACAAAAAAAATCGGAAACCTTTATAAATGCAATAGGTATTAAAATAAAACTAAATTCTAATAATTAGCTTTACTTAAAATTTGTTGTGGAAAAAGTTTTGTATTTTTCTCAAATTTCCAACACAAATTAAATTTATACTTGTTGAAGTCTTATTTATTTATTTCCACATCGAAAGAGTTAAAAAAGTTTATAAATTCATGAAAATAATAATTTTTTTTCTTTTCATGAAAAAGACGTTGCGAAATTTTAATTACTCAATATCTTTTCGCTTCTTTACAATGTGTATATTACAGGCGAGAAAGTAACTCGAAAAGAAATGAGAGTTAAAAGAATAAGGAAACAAAGAAGAAGATAATTAAAATTTTATTTTCCAAGTTTCCAGAATATAGAAAATAAGATTTCTGGATTTATAATTCAGTAAAAGAAATAAATGAAGGAATCAAAGAGATGTGCAGAGTAAATTAAAATTTTACGAACAGAAAGCAAATTTAGCACACTATGCGAAGAAAAGAAAAAGAAAAAAAGCATACATGGCAGAAGGATGCCAAAACGGCTAAGTCTACTCAAACCTTTTAATACTAACTCAGTTCGGGGGGAAAGTGACTGCAGATCATGTCAATAACTGCTGTGATGCTTAACACTAGAAAAACAGAAATTTGCCCAAAAGCAGTCAAAATGACTGGATTGTAAAAGAATAAATAATGTGTAAAAAAATTTGTTTAAAATTAATTTTTAATATTTTTTACATTATTTACAGTTATATAGCAAGTTATTAGTAATTATTAACAATAAAAAATCATATNTTCTATTTAACTAAAAATTACTGAATTTTTTCACTTTTTTTTATAACTTTACGTTACATTTTGTTAGAATATGTCTAGATAATGTTAAGCATTATCTAGACCAGTGTTTCTTAACCTTTTTGATATGATGGACCCCTTTTAAAATTTTTTAAGAAGTCACGGACCACCCCTCTGTGAAAAAAAAATAATTGCCGAAAACATCAATTATTAGAAAACATTTAATTTTATTATTTTAATAGTGTACAAAACTTTTAAAATTAAAATTTTTAATGTGAAGGTTGCTACTGCTTTTCCTTAATTAATAAATTGAATTGGGGGATGGTTTTCGAAAAAGCAACGTGCATATCATGTTCAACATTCAATCGATTTGGATGTTATGCTTTTATTGTCACAAGTGTGGAAAATCCCGCTTCGCAAAGATACACTGTAGCAAACGAAATTATAGCTCCCATAGCTCGCTTTAAAAACAAAGGGTAGGCTTCCAAACGTTTTAAAAATTAGGAGTAGTCAGCGGACCCCCATAATATAACTCATGGACCCCTTAGGGGTTCATGAACCACAGGTTAAGAAACCCTGTTCTAAAGGATCCCCTTACTCTTGGAGCAAAGTTGCAACTTCATCTAATCAATTTTTGCTAAACGTTTGCATGTCCCTACTCTGCAATGTTTTAATCCAATAATAACTCGAAATCTGCCATATTTTATTACACGGAAATTAAATAAATTTTTTCATGTTTATTAAGATATTTTGTCTTCATTAATAAAAATTGTTGTAACTCTTTAGGTGTATATATTCCAAGTACTGAAGATGAGCCATCTACAACTGTAACTGAAGAAACAACCACAGTTACAGAACCCATTTTATATTTAACACATGCTCCAGCAAAGTAAGTTATCTAAATTTAGGGAAAGTGGGACAAATGAAAAATGTATTAATATTTTTAGAAATATTACTCTGCCAAAAGTTAAAATTAAATTAAAATTAATTTAAAATAAATGAAAATAAAAAGAATTGTATTCGAATGGTAATTACAAATAATACAAATATATTGCCAACTTTATAAATATGGAAATAATAAATTTAAATAAGAGGATTAACATTAAGTATAACGATACAATACAAGTTGTTTACCCGAGGATAATTTTCCTTGAGTTGTAACAATGAATAAGGCAATGATTATTTTATCCATGATTATTTTATCTGGATTCATAGTTATTTTATCCAGATTAATTTTTCGTGTATTATACTAATGCATAAATATTATTTCAAAGGGTGTGGTTTTCTGAATTTCAAATACAATTTTCGCAATAAATTCACGCCTATTTTATGCGATGTTTTCATATCACGAGGAGATTTTTATCTGAAACGCATTTTTAAATTTATGTTTTAGAAGGAATTCTTTAAAATATTTTACCTAATATAAATATTCATATTAGTATAAAAAGAGAAATTTTGCTGTTCAGAGAACATTTCTTTATAGTTTAATTATTCTAATCATTATAAGCCAATAAGTCATTCCTTTAATTTAATTTAAATCCTTTTCAGGTGAATTTTAACATGGATTAAATTTTTCAAAAAAATAAAGACTGGTTATTTAATTACCCCTGTCTCGGAGAAACAAGACATTCGTTTTCGCCACAATGCATTAATAATTTTAATACGTATGTTTTGATCAAAACTTAAGCAATTGCTAAGAATTAAAGCTAAAGATGTTAGCCAACATTAGAAAATATTAAATTTGCTAAACTTAAATGCCCCAACATATGCAGTAATATGTCCATCTCTACGAAACGTTCCGTTTTCGCAACAGTTGTCAGGAATCTGTTAAATGAAAAAATATCGCTATTCACGTTATAAGAAAGTGATGAAAATCAATTTTAGTGGTGAAATAAGTTATATCAGGCTACTCCATTAACTGTTTAAGCGCCTTTGTTCCATTTTTTTATACATATCATTTTTTTCTAAAAGAGAAAGACAAATAGCATTACTATTTCAGTATTAGCATATATCTAGGATGTAGAAGACATTTGTGTCAACTATATACTAATGAAAACAAAATCTGTATTATCTGTGTGTATTCTGAAAAGTATTATGTATATTCAAAATCTGTATTATATTCTGAAATTATATATTTGTCAACGTTTCAAACCCAATTGGTAGCTGAAGGAAGAAAATATTAATCACAATTTAATCACAAATGTGCAACCATTTTTTCTATATAGGCACTTTTCTCATTATTATAGAATAAGATTTCAGCAGGGAAACGGTCAATGGTAGTTTGTACTGAAACGGGAATGAACGTTGAAATATGCTAATAGAGTCACATCATCTCAAAAATTCTGATCTGAAAATAATAAACTAAGAATTATTATTTACTTGAATACCTCATTTGAATTACTACACTCGAATACTCCTTCACTTTATACTTTTTTACAGTTTGACGTCTACTAGCACTTTTTATTTTGTCGGGCCTTGGGGTCGTTGCAATGGGCAAGGCTATCGACGAAGAATTGTACACTGCCAAATATTTTTAGACATCACTAACACTGTGGCAAGACTACCTGATTCCGAGTGTTCAGGTATTTGTGAATTTTACCATTTATTCATTTATTAGTCTACTTTATTTTATTAAACTAATGGCGGTTTACGCCTTAATGAATAAATAAGTAATTAGAATAGTATTATACTTTTTAATCTTAAATCACTTGATTTCGATTATATATATATATATATATATATATATATATATATATATATATATATATATATATATATATATATATATATATATATATATATATATATATATATATATATATATATATATATANTTAGTGTCATTCCCTCACTTTTTAAATAGTGAAAATAATTAATTTACTTATTAATTAATTTGAAAAATAAATTAAAAAATTAATGAATTAATTTATTAAATTAATTGATTGATTTATTTAATTAATTTATTTATTAAATTATTTCATTATCAATTATTATAAATTAATTAATTATTGATTAATTATTTAAAAATTAATTAATTTAAATATTAAGTATCATTTATAGGATATATATTTTCTTTATAATGCCATTACATATTTCTATTAATGTAAAAAGTTTCAGAGCTTTTTATTCACTTTACTTTTTTGGGATTTTATGAACTGAAAAATGACAGTTTTCGTGAGAATGACCCATATATATCAGAGATGCCAACTGCTCCGGATTCACCAAAATAATTAAAGAAACGGTAAATACCTACCAAATAAATTTTGTAAACATTTGACTATTTTTGCATGCTCTTTTAAAAGTATACCCTGACTTAAATACTATAAAGTGGTGAATTATATAAGCCTACTAATTATTTAGAAATAGTGGTGGATAAAAATCTACTAAATTGAATTTATTAAACCATGAATCACAATTGATAAATTACCACTTTAAAATATATATATGCCGTCCGGAGCAAGTTGGCATCTCTGATATATATATACATGTGTGTGTGTGTGTGTGTGTGTGTGTGTGTGTGTGTGTGTGTGTGTAAAAATGTGTTTTCTTAGCTACCCTTTTAATATTTCAATATTCATTACAAATCTAAACATAGATTTTCTAGTGAGTATAAATTACTCTTTATTTCTTAGATTAATCTGCGCAACAAAATAAATTTCACTAACTTTAACTTTTTAAGCTTTTTTCAGGAATGCCAACTACTCCACTTTCTGCAAAAGTTTTATTAAATTGGTTGTGAAATAGACAGTTAATCACGTGGAAATAAGGAAATTACGCCTATTCTTTAAAAATGTAGCCCACGAAATAACTGCAATAAACTTTAATTTCGTATGATGCTTTGAATTTTTAATATGCAATGATGGAAAAGTTACTTATAATAAAACATTCTGAACTAAAAATTATTTAAATTCCGTTACAACTAGAAAATGTTTTATTACAAAGCGACGGAAGTTATTTCCGTTTTTTATCTGAGAGAAAAAAGTACATTTAAATTGAACCCGGGTGTAAAGCAGAGATGCCAACTTACTCCGCTTTCTAAAAAAGAATATTTTCTTGTAGTACCGAAATTTAAATTGTTTCTAGTTTAGCATTTTTCATTTTAAGTAATTTTTCCACTTCTACGCATCCCAAAGATTCAGAGCATCATCTCAAATGCAATTTTATAGCAGTTATCTAGTGGTGGCACTTTTATAGAGTAGCCGTAATTTTCCTAATTCTAGAAGTTTTACTCTTTAATTTACTACCAATATATAAAGACCTTTGTAGAAAGCTGATTATCATTAATAAAAATCGTAAAATTTATCAGATATGTATTTAGAGTATAATTCCGTGATCCTCTACTATCTTAAAAGATACTCTGGCCGAAAGTCCTTTTTTTAAAAGATTATTTTGTGTTAAAAAAATAAAGGAATAAATTTAAAAGTTAGACTTATAAACTCAATTGAATGCTGTATTTAGTACTTTATATATTGGTCTTTTGGATCAAAAATGTTTTCAGCTCTTTATTTCTATCCAGCAAAGAAAGAATGATTTACTGAATGGAGCTTTCGCACAGGGCCTTAGCCTTCCTAAAAAACCTCTTCAAATTGTAATTTCTTATCTATTTTAAAAATAAAATTTATAACTGGAACTATGTATGCTAGATTTTTTCTTTTTCAGAAAACTGACAGTACTAGTATTTTCTCTTGATAGTTTTTATATCTTTGATCAAAAACTCTAACTACTACGGAATCTCCGTAGTTTCAAACAAGAATTTTTCCTGGTGGTTGCAAGGGTAATGTATTTATATTTTAAGAAATCAGAGCTAAAAGAATTTTGTCCTCCCTAAACACAAGTAATTTAAACAGATACATATGAATCGTATAGACGAATGGTTAAGTTAAGTTCTAGTAATTTTGTTTTTAAATGTCTGTTAGTTGCAAAAAATTCTGCTTTAGCTTACAGTCACTGAAAGAAAGTAGTTTGAAACTATGACGAATTCGTAGTAGTTTAGTCCCTGTTTTTTAAATGAAAATTTATAGTGGTTAAGAAATACTAAACTAATTTATACAATATCTGCCAATTTTCTTCCGACAGATTTTATTTTGATATTTTACGTAGTAGCAAAATTTTTTTCATTCTTACGTCATTTTTTAAATAAATTTGATTTATTGTAATTTTAACTACCACTGCATTTGAATAGTTTAAACGTATATAATGAAAACTTGCGAGGCACTATATTGTTACCAGCATAAGCTTAATCAATTATGACCTGAGAGCACAGTACATCACAGATTCGACGAATCAATAAGTGGCACCTCGCGCCAAACACTGAGCTACCCAATATATCCAACACCAGCACTGTATAGTGTTCTGTAAAACGTAAATTAAATATTTGTCAGAAATATAATTTCATTAATAATTTCACTACCACTGGGACATTTTTTTAAAGAACGTAAAAGTCAGCAGGTTGGCCAACTGATTTATTGAAAAAGAATTGTTAAAAATGTGTCTATATGATCTAAATTCTATTTTATTGGAATAATAATACACTCTCCTAAACTACTCGAAGTTGTTGCGAAAAAATTTTTCAGATTTATCGAACTATAAGAGAATTTTCATACACAAACCTGACAACCTTCTTTAGATTTCCGAAAATTTTTTAATATTTAATGTGGTATTTTTCATTCTTAGTTGATTTAGGTTTTAACAAATTTCATTTACTATAATTCTTATTACCATTTTATTTAAATAGTATATAAAGAACACTCATGCTTTAAGCGATGGCTAAAAGTGAATTAAGTATTTGTTTACATTATTACTTTAATAGTTATTACTTTACTAGTCATTACTGTATACTTATTGCTCATTTTTATAGTTACCACTACTAGGAAAAAACTTTTTGGGTAAGAAATTATTTGTATTCAGTAGCGGAAAAAATTCTTTTAATTCTAATTTATAAAAATATAAATACATTACCCATGCTACCACTGGGAATATTATTTTCTGAAACTAGGATGAATCTGTAGTAGTTGTAATTTCGACTTTTTCAACTCAGTAGATTTTATAAGATGCATATTTGAAGCAATTTTACTTTTTATTTTTTTAAAAGCTTTTTAAAACTATGACTTATGTTGAACTTACTCTGACCTTCATTAATCCGTGAGAACATGGCTCATCTCTTCTTTAACACTTTACCGACCGGTAGCGGTTCGAACATACTATGCCCTTTCACCGCCCGTTCAGCTGCAGATCGTCCGAGACACCGGCTCGGTTTCGGCCTAGACTGACGCGCGGACTTCACCACTAAATATCAAAAATTACAAATATGATATAAAATGCAACGTTAAATCATCAATATACTGGTTACTGTATTAAAAAGTAGGCGTAACTATCTTTCTTTAACTAATCTTACAAAATATTTTGCTACCACTTTATTAGAACTTTTCCAGAAAGCGGAGCAGTTGGCATCCCTGCCTTCATATCGATGAAAAAATCCCGACTTTCCTCGCAGGAAAATCTAGTCGCACCCAGCTGCACGATGAAAAATCCCGACTCTTTTCGCAGGAAAATCTGGTCGCACCCAGCTGCACTCGAGAAAACGACAGCTGAATTTTTTTCAGGGCATGCTGAATTGGTGGAAAACGTAGTCACCACAGATCGGTCAAAAGTCGATTAATCGACGACCGGTCGGTAAGCGCTGGGGAGCAAACGCTGAATAATCGACGGCCGGTCAGTATACGATGAGAACAAAACGTCGATTAATCGACGACCGGTCGGTAAAGTGTTAAATTGAAGCAGACTCCCACTAGTACGGATTCTCCGTAGTTTCAAAAAATATTTTTCCTAGTGGTAGCAATGGTTATGTGTTTATATTTCGATAAATTAGAATTAAAAAAATTTCGTCAGCAACTAAACGCAAGTTATTTAATCAGATATTATGTAAGGTCATATAGACAAATGCTAATACTCTAATAAATTTTCTGAAAAAATCAATTTTTTTCAAAAAAATGTTGCTTTACTTTACTACCAGTGAATTAAATATTTCGCAACAACCGCACTTGGAATAGTTGAAGTCTCTGAAGTTAAGGAAACATTCCAATTTATTGAAAAAGTAATGGGTAAAAAGTAGTTTTGAGAAGATGAAATATTTATGCAATTCTGAAAACATGTTTCTTTCCACAAACATGTAAAACCCTTCTTTAAAAACACGCATTTGCGCAACATAACTTTAAAAATCGATTGTGCACTTAATTATATCTTTATATCTCGCTTAATTTATCGAGTACTTAAAGAGAAACGTGAATCTTCTTTTAATTTTTCCGTTTTATGCTCGATGAGAAGTATAAAAACTAATTATTGACGTGGATGTTCAATTTATGCAAATGCAATCAAATATGCACTCTACAGTGAAGAGGAAAAAAACTGAATAATTTCTTTTCAAAACTTTTCGAAGTAGAAAGAATTAAAAGTTAATTTGACAAGCTTTGGTAAATATTCCCCTTTTTTGTTAAAAAAAAAATATTTGGCGAAGCATTAAATCGTGAAATTACTTTCTCATTTTAATGTTTCATTGATCGATTTTTCAAATCGCTTCTTTCTT